CTGCTGCTGCAGGCATGCGTCTGTGTCTGTTGCTGCAGCAGCAGAAGCAAAAATACTAATAATATAAATATAATTAATTAATTAAATAAAATAAATAATAAAAAAAGAAGAAGAAAAGACACAAGAAAAAAAAACCTTTGCTGCTGTGGTGTATATACCCTGTTCTTTAAGAGTTTTGCTGCTGCTGCTGTTGCTGCTGCTGCTGCTGCTGCTGTTGCTGCTGTTGCTGCTAATGTATGTATTGTTATTGACCAAGAAAGAGAGAAAAGAAGAAAAAAAATATAAATATATTTATTTATTTATTTTATTTATTTATTTTATTTATTTATTTATTATTTATTCTTTATTATATAGACAGAAGGCTGCTCCTATTGCTGCTGCTTTTGCTGCTAAGTGCTGCTGCTGCTGCTGCTGCTGCTGCTGCTGCTGCTCATACATAGAGAGAGAGGTGCCTATACACCTCAAGTTGCTGCTACCATTTGCTGTCTTTGTTTCTTTTTATTTATTTTTTTTATTTATTCTTATTTAATTTATTTAATTAAATATAATTAATATAATTATATAATAAACAATTGCTGCTCTTGCTGTTGCTCTTGTTGCTGCTGCTGCTGCTGCTGCTCTTGCTCCTGCTTCTGCTGTGCATGCACACCAGCCCTTATCAGCAGCAGCAGCAGCAGCTGCAGCGACAGCAGCAGCAGCAGCAGCAGCAACGGTGGGGTGCTGCTGCTACTGCTGCTGCTGCTGCTGCTGCTGCTGCTGCGTCGCATGCTATGTCTATATATATATAAATAAAAAATAAATAAAAATAAATTGGGGTGTATAGGCAGTTATATTCCTGAATTTTTTGTGCATTTTTTTTCTTTTTTTTTTTATAAATAAATAAATAAATAAATAAATAGATAAATAAATAAATAAATAAATAAATAAATAAATAAATAAATAGAGAAAATGTCTTGCTGTTCTGCTGCTTGTGTCCCTGATTTTGGTGATCTAGGGGTAGAGGAAGGAATAAATAAATTAAATAATTATTTAATAAATAAAAGTTATATAACAGGGTATAAACCAACAAAAGATGATTTATTTATTATAAATAAAATAAATAATGTTGGGGCTGGACAATTAATACTTAATAATTATAATAAATATATGCATGCATGCAGATGGTATAAACATATCTCTTTCTTTTGTATACATGAGCAACAAACATGGCCATTAGGTCTAATTAAGGAAGAAATAAAAAAACAAGAAAAAAAACAAGAAAAAAAACAAGAAAAAAAAATAAATAAAAAAGAAGAAGATGATGATATAGATCTATTTGGTAAAAATATATCTATGCATGCATGCATGCATGCATGCAGTGTATATGTATGCATGCATGCAGTGTAAATATATGCATGCAGTGTATGCATGCAGTGTATGCATGCATGCACGCATGCATGCATGCATGCAGTGTATGTGTATGCATGAAGTTGATGTAGGGGATGCATACGGTGTATGTAGGCATGCATGCATGCATGCATGTGCTGTATAGAGTGTATATATGCATGCATGCATGCATGCATGCATGCATGCATGCATGCAGTGTATGTATGTCTTATATGTTGTGGGGTGTCTTATTGGGGTGTATATGCATGTCTTTATATAATAAATAAATATAATATATATATTATACAAATAAATAAATAAATAAATAAATAAATAAATAAATAAATAAATAAATAAATATAATTAAATATAATTAATTAATATTAATTAATTTATTTATTTATTTATTTATTTATTTATTTATTTATTTATTTATTTATTTATTTATATACATAGGTGATGATGATAACGAGGAAGAATTAAAGGAATTAAAAAAGAAGAAAGAAGAAGAAAAAAAGAAGAAAAAAAAAGAAGTAATTAATAAATCTTCTCTTGTTATTGAGATCAAGCCTGCTAGTAAGTACTCTCTCCTCCTTTTGTCTCCTTTTTTCTCTCCTTTTCTTTGTCTCCTTTTTTGTCTCCTTTTTGTCTCCTTTTTTGTCTCCTTTTTTGTCTCCTTTTCTTGTCTCCTTTTCTTGTCTTTTTGTATTATTATATAAAAGTGTCTCCTTTTGTCTCCTTTCTTTCTTTCTTTCTTTTGTGTCTCCTTTTTGTCTTTTTTTGTCTCCTTTTCCCTTTTTTTCCCCCTCCTCCCCTCCTAACTGTCTCCTTTTATCTCCTCCTGTCTCCTTTTGTCTCCTTTATCTCCTCCTGTCTCCTTTTGTCCCCTTTTATCTCCTTTTGTCTCCTTTTGTCTCCTCCTGTCTCCTTTTATCTCCTCCTGTCTCCTTTTATCTCCTTTTGTCTCCTTTTGTCCCCTTTTGTCTCCTTTTGTCTCCTCCTGTCTCCTTTTATGTCCTCCTGTCTCCTTCTGTCTCCTTGTATGTCCTCCTGTCTCCTTCTGTCTCCTTGTATCTCCTCCTGTCTCCTTTTGTCTCCTTTTATGTCCTTATATATATATATATATAATATATAT